ATATTAAAGTGACTAGTATATGGTGTGTGCAGAGTTTAAAAATTAAATTTTTATAAGTTTGTTTGAGAGATATTTGGTGCTTGCACTTTTGCTAGGGGTTTTACCGATCTCCTCTTCCAGTTTGTGATGTGCGTTCTCACACTCTAAAAACAAATTGTGTAGATTTCCTAACTAAAAGGTAGCTTAGTGATTTTCTACCTTATTATTCGCGATATTACATGCTCGATTATTCAACGAATAGTTTGTTTAAATTTCGGACTTTTTAAAGTGTAATATAGCTGCTGTGGTGTGCGTAAATTTACTACGAAAGAGTGTACAATAGGGTGGTCCAAAGATACACTTGGAAAAGTATAGTCGGAATTTTATGCTCTCACCCCTAGGATTTTTCTATACCTAAAAAAATGTATCCCAATTTTTTGATTTCAAAATTAAAAAATATTTAGTGGTCGCTCAAAGCGCCCAAAGTTTTCCATGTATTTTGTATGGGGAAAAAACAACTTTTCGTAGAAATTGTATAGAATTCTTAAAAATAAATATTTTTCTATGAGAGAACTCAGTTTTGTCTGCAGCAGATTCCCAATAATAATACTCAAATTTTTATTTAACCATTTTTTCATCGCAACTTTAATTTATAGGAAATATTCAATGGGGGAACCAATAAAAAATTGTTAGTATTATAAAATGGTTAAATAAACAATTGGGTCTTATTACTGAAAGGCTCCTGAAGAGAACCAGAGTTTTCCGATCGAAAAATATTGGTTTTCAAGAATTCTATACCATTTCTATGAAAAATTGTTTTTTCCCCATATAAAAATACATGGAAAACTTTGAGCGACCTCTAAATATTTTTTGATTTCAAAATAAAAAAAATAGGGGTATACTTGTTTTCGATATAGAACAATCCTAGGGGGTGAGAGCATTACAATTCCGAGTTTACTGTGTTTGGACCACCCTAGTGGTCACACACATACACATCTGCTGTTTGATTTTACCCATAGAATTGTGTAAAGCCGCTAACAAATTGGATTTTTACACACGAAAATGTGTAAACGAGAAAAATACATATTCATCGTGTAAATTTATCAGAAAATTTAAAAAATAAACAAAAATATACTCTATTTATAGTCGCATTTTTAAACAGATTTTTTAGAGTGCATGTTGTTACTCAAGTGGAGGGACTTACACTATTGCGACGTTCCCGAACGGGAACTTTTTTATGACAGGATGTTTACCACTGTCTATCTATCTATAGAAGTTTCCAATTGGGGCAAGACGATGCTGAATCTTCTGGCGAGCATGTCGGTTTAGAGCCTGTCAGAATTCCACTGCTGGAAGCCTTATCAACAAGTATTATACTCATTTGGAGAGCGATTTCATTTGAAAACGTTGGCACAAGAAGAATAATCAAAAAGTCAGTCCTACAACGGGACTTTTACTAAAAAAAAAAAAACAAAATGTGAGCTCCAATCACTGTTCGACATTTTTAGTTAAAAACCGTTGCCGAATTTTCAATTGCCTCTTCTAGACAGTTTCGATTTAGGATGACCAATTCTACATCCAAAGCCCGCTGTGCTCTAGGGTGCGAGTCATATTTTCTTGCAGACATAGAAAGCGGTCGCGATTTAACGCGACGTCTATAATATTTTCTTTGCGAAGTCAATCCCTCTATGTTCTTATTCTTATCTCACTTTTTGCACTTATCATTTCTATACGACATAACTTTTAAATGCTCACCTTTAGACTGGATACTTTGAAAAGCAAAGGAATTAAGTACCAGTTTGAGGAACAGGACGCTTGTTCTTATATTTTTAACTTATTACATCTTCTCTTCTGACTTTTTTACAGATATTTATTCCTCATTGATTTATTGAAGTGGATTTGTGCGAATGGTTCAAAAACTTTATTAACTACTACTAAATAATAGTAGTCTTTTATTCTGAGCGATAGTGTGCTGGTGTGCTCTCAGTGTTTCCACTTTTAATGCATATCGAGCGCTGACCTCGAAAAAGACATAAGCAAAATTTGTTTCCAAAATTTTATTTTTGATACAAAAATTCATCTTAATGCTCTAGGAACATTTCTGCATAAAAAGGAAAATTAAAAAAAAAATGTCGCTTACGTCTTTTTGGTGGTTGGGGCTCGATATGTAGTAGATCAACGACAAATTTTTAAAAATCTTAACTATAACTTCGTTAAAAAAATTTATACGTATTTACAATATTAAATATTTCCTCTTTCTCTCTCTCCCTTTTAGTTGCTTTGATAAACTGAAAATGAAGGTCAGCACTTTGGATAAAATATGCAGCTTTCTAGCCGAGCTCATTGGCACTGCACTGCTGGTCTTCCTTGGCTGCATGGGTTGCGTGAAGAATGATTCCTACGAAAATAATCACTTTCAAATGACATTTAATTTTGGTTTGGTTGTCATGATTATTATTCAATGTTTTGGTTGCGTCTCTGGTGCCCATCTAAATCCAGCTGTGACACTTGCAGCTTACATTTATAACATGACATCGCTGGCAATGGCTGGCGTATATTTCGTGGCGCAAATGTTGGGTGGTTTTATTGGCTATGGATTGTTGAAGGCGCTCATTCCAATCAATGCTGTAACGCTGAATGGTCCTCATAATCTCTGTGTTACCACTGTGCACGCGGAAATATCCGCATGGCAAGGATGTGCAATTGAATTCATCATCACCGGTGTATTGATATTCACTTGCTGTGGCGTATGGGATCCACGCAATTCCAAATTCCATGACTCTGTGCCGATTCGTTTTGGTTTAGCCATCTCGTGTCTGGCCATCACAGCGGTAAGCATGCGTTTTTGTATGTAAAAATCTACAAGCAATAATTTTATGAATATTTTAGGGTCAATTCACCGGTGCTAGTATGAATCCAGCTCGATCCTTTGCGCCATCTTTGTGGAATTCTGACTTCCAGGACCAATGGATCTATTGGGTTGGCCCATTAGCAAGCGCTGCGGTGTGTTCCATAGTGTATAAGACGATTTTCAGACGCGAAGTTGTTGAGGAGAAAGTGAACAATAAGCTGCGTGCAATGGAAGAAGTACCGCTCTCATAAGCCAACCATGTGAATTGAAATACCAAAGAACGATTAAAACAAGCAAATCGACATTCTCAAAGATGTTGCCGGAAAATACGAACTTCTTGAGCGTTTGATATTCTATTTATTTTTTATTATGTTTTATACTTAAGAAGAGCATTTATGAAGTCTACCAAGCAGACTCTATTTTTTTATAATCATTTATGCTAATGATTTTTGCCAATTATGCTGAAAATATTTTGCAATAACGCAACCAAAAAAATGTTCAAAATTGTTAGATAAATGTAATTATGCCAATTTATAGAGAAAATGTTGTACATACATACATACATATATACGTAAACGCCAACAATAATTAAGGTATAAAATTTGTACGATTAAATATTAGGGTAAATTCATCGAAGCGCTTAAAAGCCTCATATCCACGTAAACCTCCAAAAATTTTTTAATTTTGTAAGGAAAACCGGTTTATTTACGAGGTTTACACAGTTACGAGGCATGTATGCATTTGTATGAATACCCTGATTGTTTTTACATAATAAGAATTGTTTAAAGAAAAAAAAAATTTTGTTTTGCAAGTATATTTTTTGGGTGGATAATTGGTATGTAACACACACAAAAATAAACCCACTCCGGGTTGACTCCACTGCATATTTTTGTAAAACCAGCAGCGGCTTCGAGGAATTTTCAATTGCAAATTCCGCCACTGAGCGTGATACCTGGTCAAACGGTTCACCTCAATTATATACCAGATATGTGGTACACAGACGGATCAAGGATGGATTGTAAAGCAAGCGAGGCAGACTTTCCATTGCAATGGTTAATTTGTCCACTGTCTTTCAGGACGAGTTACTAAACACTGTGCTAAATTAAAACTTCAAAAGGGTTTGAAGGACGCCTTTCTAGCTATCTTTGTCAGACAACCAAGCGGCCATCAGGGCCCTATCTAATAGGTCGATCGCCTCGAGGCTCATCAGATAGTGCTTAAACACTCTCCAACCCTTGGCAGCAAGCAACATGGCAATACTGTGCTGGGTACGAAGGCACTGCGGCAGTAAAGGTAGCGAGCTCGCCGACGAACTGGCTAGGGAAGGCTCATCGTCTCTGCCGTTTTTTGGACTCTGTTGCTTCTTCTTGAGACTCATAACCAGAACACAGTAACTGCTGGAGACAGGAAGGGGCTTAGACAGGCTAGATTCTTGTTATATCCTTTTGCTAGCCTGGTGATCGCTGTGGCTGAGTGGTTAAAGGTGCGTGCTACCACTTGCAGGATCTGGGTTTGATGCCTGGTTCGGGCAACATCTTAATTGGAAAAAGTTTTTCTAACAGCGTTCGCCCCATTTGATGTTCGGTGGTGGCATAAAATCCAGTTCCATACCATACTAAAGTAAGCAGTAAGGATTGCTAAAGTAAGTACTAAATATTAGACATGGATTCGACAAGGATTAGAGACATAAACCACTTAACAGTAGTAACAGTTTTTATTTAAAAAAAAATTTTATTTTATTCTTTTATAAAAGTTTTATGTTTCAGCTTGCTATGCAAAATGTTTAAAAAGCTTAGAAAGCTCTGCACGAGGGCAAAGCGGTGCACATCACCAATTCAGAGCATTAATATATTAGAGCGATGGGCAGAGAGAGCTTTTACTCTGCAGGCACCTATACAAAGTGTATAGAAAGCTTAAAAGAGCTTTGCCCGCGGGCAAGGCAGTGCCAATCAGTGATGTGTATTCAACAAATGTCCCGCAGGAGATTAATTTTAAAGCTTTCTTTCTTTCTGATATGAAATTCAGCGATGGGCAGAGAGAGCTTTTGCTTCGCACTCTATAAAATGTATAGAAATTTTAAAAGAGATGCGTACAGAGTAAAAGCACTCTCTAATCATCACTGATTTATAATAGGCAGAGACAGCTTTTGCACCATGCAAATACATTTGTATATACAAACATCCATATTTAACTACATACAAAGCAGAGCTGAAAATGGAAATTTCAGATTGAACCTATGATCAAAAAATAAATGGGCCATATTCATCGTAGAAAAAAGGTCGGCTCTTAAGTTGGTTGCAGCTTTTTTGACAGATATTCCATTGAAGCGATTTTGACCGAGTCCAAAACAGCGCGCCAAACATTTCTCTTGTGTGTCAACTGACGCCAATTGGAAATACCAAGAGAAGCCAAGTCCTTCTGCACCTGGACCTTCCAACGCAAAGAAGGCCTTCCTCTGTTACCAGCACCGCCGCCCGCGTTGAATATTTTCAGTGCAAGAGCGTTTCTGTCCACCCGAACGACATGACCCAGCCAGCGGAGCCGCTGGATTTTAATTCGCTGTACTATGTCTCCTAAGCTCTCTCTCTAAAGCTCATACAGCTCATCGTTAAATCGTCTCCGGAATTCACCATAGCCAACGCGTAAAGGCCCGTAAATCTTTCGCAGAATCTTTCTCTCGAAAACACCAAGAGCCAGTTCATCAGATGTTTTCATTGTCCATGCCACACACCAGAGCAGGCATAATGAGTGACTTATAGAGTGTGATTTTTGTACGACGGGAGAGGACTTTACTTCTCAATTTCCTACTCAATCCAAAGTAGCACTTTTTGGTAAGAGTTCAAAGCTGACATTTCCAGACTGACATAATTATCTACTTTTTTATACCCGAGCGCACTTGTGCACAAGGGTATTATAACTTTGTTCACATAACGGTTGTTTGTAACAGGCAAAACGAATCGAGATAGATATAGACAAATGTATACATAAATGATCAGGATGAAAAGAGAAATCGATTAAGCGGTGACTGTCTGTCCGTCCGTCCGTCCGTCTGTGCACACGATAACTCGAGTAAAAATTAAGATATCTTAACGAAACTTGGTACGTGTACTTCTTTCGGGCGTAGGACGGATGGTATTGAAAATGGGAAAAATCGGACAATAACCACGCCTACCTCCCATATAACGGTAATTTTCAGAAATACGAAAACTGCGATATTTTAGTAACTACTGAAGATTATTAACTCAAAATTGATATTTACAATAATTTTTAGACGAAAAATAAGAATGTTATAAATTTTTGAAAAATGGGCGTAGCCACGCCCACTTATGGTTACATGTGTATATCTTGGCAACCGCTGCACCGATTTCTTCCAAACTTGGCACAGTTATTGGCCTTGGTACAGGATACCAAATGGCCGAAAAGTTTTAAAATCGGACAATAACCACGCCCACATCTCATATAACGGTAATTTGGAGAAATACGAAATCTTCGATAAATCAGTAAATATTAAAGCCAATTTATTCAAAATTGATGCTTGCAACAATTCCTTACCAGGAAATACGTCTACAATAAAATTTTGAAAAATGGGCGTGGCACCGCCCACTTATGATCACATATATGTATCTCGGTAACCGTTCTACCAATTTGTACCAAACTCGGTATTTTTATTGTGCTTGCTACATAAAA